CTATCCGCCGTGCTAGGAGTCTGTATCAAGCAACATAGCTGAGGATAGAGTATTGCCACGATCCGCATATCATATTGTTTTGCTGGCAGCCGAACCGAACCGTAACAACTGAAGAAGCAGTGCTCTAAAGAATCGAGAGCCTTTTCTTCCAAACTAACATCCAAAAGTGGACTGGTACACTGACTGAAGAAGCAGTGCTCTAAAGAATCGAGAGCCTTTTCTTCCAAACTAACATCCAAAAGTGGACTGGTTGTATACACTGCTTGGTATTCTTTTCTCGCAGCGTGATCGAACCGTAACAACTGAAGAAGCAGTGCTCTAAAGAATCGAGAGCCTTTTCTTCCAAACTAACATCCAAAAGTGGACTGGTTGTATACACTGACTGCTTGGTATTCTACGTGTAAAGCTGGTTGTGTGCATTGGTGGTCTATCTGTGGTCGTATGACTCAGCCTCATAAATTCTCTCAGCTCCAAGTAGCAACGTAAAAAAGGAAACACGCAGTCGATTTCTTAGGAGACCAAGAACTTCGTTAAGACTGGAACGCACTGATTACTCATCTGGTATCGCAACCGTTTAGGCTTCTGTGTAACACTTCTCCTGCTGTCCTTAAATTTCTGATAGCTAGACCTTGGTGAAGGTCAAAGACAGCATACGGAAAGCGGTGTCCATTCGCCCTCACCTGATCACCTGCATCCGTCTATGTGCAATAAAATATCACTGTTTCACTACATCGGATGGTCCGCCTAATTCGGATTGCCCCGTTGTCCCAGCGCGGTGGGTACAATCTTATAACGACAGTTTTGGAAACGCCTAACGATTTTGTGCAACAGAATCACGATAAGCCCTGAGGATGTTTCGACTAAATTGGAACCAGGAGTACCAGAAACAAAAAACAGGCGCCTCCGTAGGGGGTCAGATTATCCGGTTAACTAGGCACTGTAAGCACAAACTGGTCCTTCTGAGAAAACTAACTCACGTGTGTTGATCCAAACAAAGTCGATTAATCCATCCAGATTTGTGTCAGAACCTGAATATTCACGAATTATTCGTCCATCAACGATAAGCTTGAACTTTGGTACATAAAGCATACGAAGACTCCAACGATGTGCAGTGTAGTCTTCCACTTGGACTGCATGGAAAAGGAACTGTGGGAAGGCTCGAGCCAGAGCCTTGACAAAAGGGAGAGCGGCGACCGAGAACGGACATTTGGTGGAATAGATGAATACGAAGTGACAGTCAAGACTGGGTGTTTTTGAGAAGTGTCTGGACTTATGTGAGTCTGATTTGCTTGTATCTGCAGAATGGGCTTGCCTTTTTCCAAAGCTTGCGTCAAACCAGCGAGCAGCCTGAACGTGATCCAGTAGAATCAACTGGCCCAAACTGTGGTTCGCCCAATTGATAGACCTGAGCTTGCAGCGAGAAAATGTCTGACCGACCACAGGTAACGCTTGATTGAGTGGCCATTTGGAAGTTATGTTTGCTGGAACATATTATGGATATATCAACGAAATTAGAGTGGCGGATGAAAACGACACCTTGAAGGGTAGTGAGGTTAGTAACGATGGCCCCGGATGGCAGTGAGTCAGGCACCAGTAAGCAAAGGTAATGGCGCATGCATCGCCCTAAAGCGATAATCTGTGGGGTTATGAAAAGAGAGCAGAACTTATTGCAACTCTGTGCCAGCATAACCTAAAGTTTATTGCCAATGAACCGAACCACCTCCGTCCTGGGATAATGACGCTATCGTAGACTATGTAATTGAAAACCAAGGTGCTCTGAATCCCTAATACCGAATAAAGCAATACGGACCGAACCAGAAAACCATACGGTAGAGAGTTGAATTTTGGATACCTCATATGCAAAAAGTGTCGAATGGTCAGACAACGAAAAGTATGCGTAGTTTTGCAGAACGGATAGTAAAAGTTAAAAAGAGTTAAGTTAAGCCAAGCTGCAATCTGTCCCGAGGCAAGATGCCTCAGTGACCTCACTAGTATTCAAGGATGATCCCAAAGTCATATCAGTAAAGCCAAAAAACCCACTATATACCATCCATATTTCCAGCGTCTTCAAACATGCGCAGGGGGAATCACTCGGACCCCATGTTGAAGGCCAGTCATATTGACTTTTCGTAACCGTTCCAGCATCCCTATGCCAACTCGAAATTTGACCACCTCTCTGCATTTGCCACTCCGAACTAGGCAAAAGGTGCTTCGGTATGCGCAATACACGGCCAAACCACAGTAGCTTTTGACGCTGGGCACATTCTTAAATTGAAATCCACGTTGTGCAACCCAACACCCACTCTCCTATTGCTTTCTTACAGACTCGTCGCCCCTAACTTACAATAACTTTGATTTTCCGAGATAACAGTTGCCGAAGACCTGCCAACGTCCCAGTTGCTCTCAAAGATACACACGATCATCGAGGATTAAGGATACGCTGCTTAGTCATAGGTATCTCATATTAGCTAACGCGATCCGAACCCCAGCCGTTTGTGCCTTGACCTCGTGCAGCGACAGCGCCGCTTACACGTAAAACACTCCCCAGTCTCGGGCACCTCCTTTGATTGGGACTCCATGTCCAAGAGCAGGACCTTACACTATGTAGGTGCAAAGTGCATGCCGACGGACTGGATGATTTTGGTCAGCTCATCCAAAAACTCGTGTCCTTGCCCTTTTCGAAGACTGGAACGATATCGTTTGCGTGTTCCAGATCGAAAAGGTTTTGAAGATGTTCCATTGACCACCTCACTGTGTCGTCGATCACATAATCGAATAGGAATGGAGAAAGCTTGCATCTCTGTCGGATACCACATTTTGTACGAAGTCTTTTGGAGCTCCGAAGTCTGAGAATACAAAGGATATACATAGACGAAATTCCGGATAAAGCGCGTTAAGGAGAACAGACCGGGCAATGGAGTCAAAAGTGCTCTTAAAATCCAGGAATACTGAAATTCTGGGTCGGTTATATGTTTGGCGTTATTCTATCATTGACGAAGTGTGAATGTTTGGTTCACCCAACCCCTACCAAGTCGGAATCCTGCTTGCTGCTCTCGACTCAGTCCTTCACGGGCCACCATAAGGCGGACGAGTGAAGTAAAGCTGGACCCCACTCACTATGGGTTCATTTTTCGGAAATATGCATTATTAGTGATTCTCCACAATGGTCTTCCCCAAATAGAGGCAAATAGATCAGACAAACACCGATCGAGGACCTCAGTCCCATCCTTGGACAATGAGAGTGGGAGTTCATTGGAGCTGTTAGCTCGGTGGCGCTTGAGGGAACAAACGTAGTCATAAACCTCCAAATCCACAGGAAGTCTTAGGCTCATTGCCCAAGATTCTACTACAGTTCAAGAGTCCGACTGAATGACGGCAGGTGGCCGTAAGCATTGATTTTCAGAGTGCTCGATCCAGCGGTCAAGTCGTCTTTCTTTATTGAAGGTGTTCGCGCCACTCTGACTTTTGATGGCTTCGTTCACAGGTTTCTGGAGCGTTCAGCTGTAGCACCCTTCCGGTACCTAGCTGCCATGCCACACGAAGGAAGCACGAGGGCTGGGATACTGCCAGGTTGCCCAAGCCTAGACAGGGGAAGTCGAGAGGCGGAGGTGGGATTCGAACCACGGACCTTCCGGTCAGTAAATTGGCGCTCCAACCACTTAGGCCATCTCGCCTGGAGAATCAACAGAAATGACCTTCGCAGATTCCTGGCATTCTCAATCGCTTACTCCAGTTCTTTGATCTTCTCTGCTCAGCAAACATCGCAATCGGCGCACTCGCAGATTCCAGTACTAGCAACCAAACTGAATTACTACCAATGCAGTTCCCGTTGCGGACCACTCCGGCGGATAGAAGCAATCCTAGACATAAGTACAGCCGACTTATCCTGCTAGTCATTCGACGCAATTAGGCCCGGAGTTCATGGAAGGCTGCGGTAGAGAAAAGGCGTTCGACGGAACAAGGTTACGCAGCATTTGTGCTGGCGGGCGACTGTGCTCAGGTCTTCCTCATCATCATAATTGTCAGCTGCAGTAACCGCGTACTCGTCGTACAGTGGTTGTAGCTGCCGCAGTTTCGTTCACCGATGATTTGCGGGGTAGGGGTAGGTAGCTGCGCATTGCACGCGCGAGCTGGTAAATTGGTGCATAAATCCAGCACTGTCAGTGGGCTGTCAAGTGGGGGGGG